TAAACAGTGATATCTTGTACGTCGAACAATTCTAACTTCGAACGCTTCACAGTTCGAACTGCCGAGCAGTGAAAAATGCACTCGAAGTATTACATAAGCAAAGAATTTAATCTAAAATTACTTATGTATTAAATTTCACAACTATTATAATTAAATCCACATTTCATTTCATCTAAATTCACGACAGCTGTTAAAAACACGCAAAAACTTTCCGTTCAATATAATATCACCTTTAATCATTAATCATATCATTCGAGAAATGTGTGCAGGTAGCGAAGTCTAACAAATAAGAAGGCTGTAATATCGATGATTGAAATGAAAAAGGAACTCATCGCCAAGTATGAAAGTGGCACACGTGTGGTGGATCCGGCGGACATGTTTAAGATACCAAAATCAATGGTGTGCGACCAGTAAATGCAATTACGCAGTATTTACATATTCTATTTATTGATTTTGTATTTCAATTTATCATTATTGCATTTAATTATGTTATTTTTACCGTAAATTATGCGTATTTGCTCTTTTAAGTTTATCTAAATGGGTGTCGTTTAGGAACCGGGAATGGATTAATTTACTTTCCATTCACTTCTAATGGAAAAAAAAAATTTCTTCGGACCTGGAACGATTGAGAGTTCGAATGGACTCGTGGAATGAATTAAATTCGAAGTACGAGGCATCTTTATATACATATACACACACAAATACTCTATATAGTGAACTTTCGAAGGACATTCACTACATAAGGGTTCACTACATAGTAACAAATATGAATAAAATTATTCTCTAAATCAAAAAGTCACTATATCGAGTCCAATTTGTCGCCTATACGTTAACAGAATATTGGGCTTACATTTATTTATATAAAATTAATTTTAAGAAAATTTTGAAGTTAAAATAAACAAATAATTTAAATATTAAAAAAATATATTTGCATAATTAATTATTTCATTTAATATTTAATTTATTAACTTCACAATGACTTAAATAAATGAATATAAATATAAATATAAAAACTAATCTTTTAGGAAATTTTTTGTAATACGTTTGTATTTTTAGTTTAAACATGATTTTTAAATGAAATTAATTTAGTAATAAAACATTATATAAATTTTATAAAATATACCCTATTTATTTAATAAACATCCTACATAGATATTTTTCGAATTTGTACTAGTGTAATCTGTAAAATTATTAAAGATTAAGCAGTAAGAACAGGAAAATACACGACAATGATAATCTATAATCGAGACAATTTGAAAATCAGAATTATTTAATCTCAGGATATACTTGACATTTAATAGCATCATTAATCTAGCTTTATTTGTTCAACAAGCGTAAATTCTAAAAAACACTTTTAATTCTCGAATATTTCTGAATAATTTCCATCTTTATCATAAATTGATAAATGTAATGACTGATAAAAATACGTGTAAACATACAAATACACAGGGCGGTCCAAAAGTCAGTTAACATATATATATATAATATCTGCATACTATTCATTTATAGAATCAAAACAATCAATTTTTAAACTTTTTATAAATTAAATATTATTATTTTATTTGAAAGATACATTTTAACCATATGTATAAGTCAAGAAACCTTCAACTGACAATATTGGAAATCTTCACCATAACTAGGGATTAGATTAAATTGGCTCTCTTGAAATGGCACGATGTTGAAATTCATGGCATACCCTTCTAAATTTAAGGTGTATACATCTAAATTTAAGCAATTTATAGCTAATTTAAGTGTATACAGCGAACTTAACCGACTTATAATTGAAATTTTTTATTATTGAAGTTAACAGTCAACAATAAATGCTGGCATTTACATTGTGAATTTAATGTAAATACATCACAAAATCCATCATTAAATGCTTTAATGAACGTATATTAGAAGCATGAATACTAGAAATTTTATCACCAATTAAATGATGCAGTTATTAAATGAAATGAACTAGAAAATTACATGGTGCACGATACATTCTGGTTATTCGTGTAGAAGCACCCCTGTGGCAAATACTGTACTAAAAGATGGATGCTGTCAAAAAAAAGGAAAAAAATGTCGAGTTTGTAGATGCTACTACTTGAACAAAATTGAAAATTGATATCTGTCAAAAAAAGAGGTCGTTTAGTGTAGTATAAATTCAAAAAAAAAACTAATTTATTAAGCGTATATAAATAGAAACAACATGAAAATAACTTTTATATAAGAAGCTTGAATACAAAAACAAAATCGATTTTGTAGTTATTTTCGAATTCACTTTTAAAATAATGTGTAAATTTGTTACTAATTAAAATATAATTTTTTTCCCACAAAAATTAATTTTAAATTAATAATTAAAACGAACGAATATTACCGTAATATCATTATAATAAAATATAACATAATCAATATAACATTTAAAATTTTTATTTTTCTATTTCTCTTTGATGCATGTTTTTTAGAAGTTAAATTTACGTAACTTTTGAATTTTAATAAATATTATTAATAATAAACGCGTTTTAAACTAATTAACCAATTAATGATGAATGAAACATCATTAATTCGTAAAATTATAAACAGTGATATCTTGTACGTCGAACAATTCTAACTTCGAACGCTTCACAGTTCGAACTGCCGAGCAGTGAAAAATGCACTCGAAGTATTACATAAGCAAAGAATTTAATCTAAAATTACTTATGTATTAAATTTCACAACTGTTATAATTAAATCCACATTTCATTTCATCTAAATTCACGACAGCTGTTAAAAACACGCAAAAACTTTCCGTTCAATATAATATCACCTTTAATCATTAATCATATCATTCGAGAAATGTGTGCAGGTAGCGAAGTCTAACAAATAAGAAGGCTGTAATATCGATGATTGAAATGAAAAAGGAACTTATTGCCAAGTATGAAAGTGGCACACGTGTGGTGGATCCGGCGGACATGTTTAAGATACCAAAATCAATGGTGTGCGACCAGTAAATGCAATTACGCAGTATTTACATATTCTATTTATTGATTTTGTATTTCAATTTATCATTTAGGGCATTTAATTANTATATTACAGTATTTAATTCGATATAATAAAAGAAAAGAAGGAAAAGATCAATGAATGGTATATTGAAAATGCTTGTCATCAATTCTGTTTTTTTTTTCATTCCTATCAATCGAAGTACAGCACTCGATTCAATATTTACATGCTGATACAACGTACTCTACCAAAGGATGCGTATCTCCTCTTTTCATATTATTTTAAACATATTTTATCTGCTTTATATTCAAATCAATAACTTATATTGTTATAAGTGTTATATTAAATAAATGTTTATACAGTATATTATACAACTTACCATGTCAGATTGTGTTAGTAATATATAGTCTATATATATATATATAATATGCAGAGTGGTGACTTAAAAGTCAATTAAACATTACGAAATGTTATTCAAATAGCTAGAAACTTTATAATATAATTGAATAATTATTGAAATTGAGATCCTTCTTGTTTAAAATACAGGATGCCCCAAAACTCAGTTGACCCGCATACAAAATAAATTTTTGACTAATTCAACTACATTATTTACGATCTTCTTCAAGGTGCTCTCATTCTGTTTAATACACAATATCTGACTTGCTTAAAATGAAAACGGTTATCAAACTTTTGGGACACCCTAAATATATTTATGTAATATTAATTTAACTAAAATTTTATCTTCGAAAACAGTTTATTAACTGAATTACTTGTTTGTCTAGAATATTCGTTTTAACTCGTTTTAACATACAGAGAGAACGTTACATTAGGTAGAAGTGCAATCAGAAGCACTCTAGTAGTTCGCGATTTACCAGTTGGAATATAAAACAGTATCACGTAATTTCTGAAGGATTATCGAAATTAGTTGTGTAATTTAATAAAACTACAATAATAAGTGATTATTTATGATATTCATAAACATTTATTTCGTAATATTTCTTAAATAAACATTAAAAAAAACACTACGATTTATGTAATACGTGTGACGCGCGAAGAAAATTTATTGAATAATTAAATTTTAGAATATTTATTTTATGAAGTAATTTTCTTAAAAATGAAATAAACGTTTTAAAATAATATTAAAACTAAAGCTATTTTATTATTTTTTAATAATTAATGTTAAAAGGAAACTTAAATGATTTTTATTATTTATTTTAAGTATTTTTATATTAAATCACCAAAAAATTTATTTTAAAAATATTTGATTAAGGAATATTTATATTATGAAAATATATATTTTTGATAGAAAAAATGACCTTTAAAAATGTGAGTAAAAATTAATTTTTAAATAATATATAATTATTTTTAAACGTGTTATATTTTATAGTCAATGATTTTTAAATATAAATATAAAATTTTTTATATAAAGCATTTAAATTGTTTGCATATATGTAAGNAAAAAATTTTATATAAAACCTATATATCTATCTTCTAGTAAAAATTTTCTATATTTAATTTCTATCAATTTCGATTTATTTTTTAGCAATAACTTATATAATATTAAATAGAAGTATTAAGTAAATTCCAAGAAAATATGCCTTAAAAACATTATTTAAAATGCAATGTTAACTAACACCTGAATGTAATTTATATAATTTAAGTATTGGTTTTATGTTCTACCTGTTCATCAGATAGAACATAAAACCAATGTTGCTCACTTCTTACGGTAATTTATTGTCATAAAATACGGTAAGAAATGAGCAACACTTATCTTCCAAGAAAAAAAGTTTTAAAAAATAATTCTATTAAGTTTTTTATAAATCATTTTTTAAATAATTTAATTTTCTTTAGGAAATAAAATTAGACAAATTTGAATCATATATAATGAATAAAACAGTATTAAATTACTTTCTAAAAAATTTTTGTTTCTTATTAATTAAATATAGATAACTCTTTACTTACCTTTACTTTAAGTAAATATTTTTATAGAAATATTAGATATTATATTATAAATTTATTATGAAGAAAAAACTCACCTGTCTACACTCATAGCTGACATAGTGAACACTGACGTAGATACAGATAAATTAGCAATAAAATTACTAATAACACAATAAGTCATTCCGAATGGCCAATGACTTCTTAACATATATATAAAGTTAAAAACGACATTGAAAGTAGCAATGAGTAGATCAGTTATAGATAAATTCAAAAGAAAATAATTAGTAACAGTCCTCATCTTACGATGAGCTAAAATAATCCATATAACAATAGCATTACCTATAGTCGCTACAATTACCATTAAACCAAAAATAATACCCCAACAGAATTGTTGCCATAAGGGTGGTATGTAAGATACTTCATAAATTGTTGAATGAGAACAATTTTCAACTTTTTCCAAGCAAGATAAATTAAAATAAGTGAGATTTTCTGCATCCATATAGAGTTGGATAGATAGTAACTCTTTGACTGGCGACTGTCAACTGAGCTCGACTGTGTTGCTTTCCACCCCTTTTATATATAAAGAAGCGTACTAGCGCCACTATTATCTACCTCATTCGCTATTGTAATTAATATTCAGGATGTTATTCAATCTTAACAATTCATTAAATAATTTTTATATAATTTAAATGCTATCTGATTCTTTAAAAATAGAAACTATACACTTTGTTCTAAAATTAACGAATAATCAATATAACAGGAATAAAAATATAAATACTTCTTAAAAATTAATTAAATATATAAAATCTTTAATTAAATTTATTTCTTAAATATTTTATTTGAAA